ATCATCATTGCAGTGGTTAGAAGGAGTCTACATAGAGGGAAGGTGTAGATGTGAGTCAAGTTATATTGGGATGATCTTTTTAAAATGAAAGGATAAGAAAAAGGGATGCACTGAAAGAAGGAAGGGGGAAGGAAAGAAATTATGATGTGCAGAAAGAACTCTTACAGTGGAGGGGGGGAATGGAGGGTGGTGGGTAATGCGTAAACTTCACTCTCATCTGAACTAGTTCAAAGAGAGAAGAATACACACACACACACACACACACACACACACACACACACACACGCTCAGTTGGGTATAGAAATCTATCTCACCCAACAGGGAAGTTGAAGGAGAAGGGGATAGAAGAAAAGACTAATAAGAAGGACAATAGATTAAGGAAGCCAGTGGTCAGAAGCAAAACAGAGTACTGAAGAGAGAGACAGAGACATAGAGAGGAGGAGGAGGAGGAGAAAAAGAAGAGGAAGAAGAAGAAGAAGAAGAAGAAGAAGAAGAAGAAGAAGAAGAAGAGGAAGAAGAGAAGAAGAAGAGAAGAAGAGGAAGAAGAAGAAGAGGAAGAAATAGTAGAAAATTGGATGGACTGAAATGCAGTTAGTAACCATAACTCGATTTGAATAGAATTAACTCACCAATAAAACAGAATTGGATAGCAGAGTAGATTAGAAATCAGAATCCAATATTATGCTGTTTACAAGAGACATACTTGAAACAGACACACAGAGTTGCAAGATATAAAATAAACGACAGAAATCATTAGCATTTCTACATATTACCAACAAAACCCAGCAGAAAGAGATAGAGAAATTCCATTTAAAATAACTACAAACAATACAAAATATTTCAGAGTCTAACTGCCAAAACAAATCTATTGTGCTATTAGAAATAATGAGGGGGATAATTTCAGAAAACTCTGAGATTTATTTATATGTACTGATGCAAAGTGAAGTGAACAGAACCAGAACATTATATGCAGTAACAGCAATTTAATAATGATGATCAGCTGTGATAGACTTAGCCACTCTGAGCAATACAATGATCCAAGACAATTCCAAAGGACTCATGATAAAAAAAAAATGCTATCTACCTCCAGAGAGTAAACTAATGAATTCTGAATGCAGGCTGAAGCATAATTTTTCACTTTCTTTGTTTTTCTTGCTTTTTTTGCAATGTGACTAATGTGAAAATACATTTTGCATGACTTCACATGTATAATGAGCATCTTATTGCTTGCCTTTTCAATGGGGAGGGGAAGGGAAATGGGGAGGAGAGAATTTGGAACTCAAAAAAAAATTTAAATGGATGTTAAAAGTAAAGAAAGAAATGTTTGGGGGGTGGGGAGAGTAACAGAACTAGAGAAACATTTCTATAACACAGGAAAAATCTTGAAGATTTATGAAAGAACATAGACAGAAATAGCACAGGATGAAGAGGCATGGGTGTGTAGGAGTCTGCACCTGTGAATATATTACCCATGTTGATGAGATCTGAGATCACCATAACATTTAAATCACTGGGTAGTGAAAAGGGATTGGGAGTTGGGATAGATAATTAAATAAGGCAGGATACCTGGGCTTGATAATGAATCAATCTTTTAGGACACGCAAAAGGTAATCATACAACATGGAATACCATTAGTATGCAATAGGAATACAAATAAGGAGTCATGAGGAAAGACTATAAGACAAAAAGATTGTTCTGGTTGCTAGTTTCAAAGACAAGACAGCAAATCAAAAAGTTCCTAAGCAATAACCTTGAGAAAATTAAACTAATAACCACTAGGCAAATATAAGTTTAAATAGAAGATCTCATTTTTTGAAGCATTTATAGTCTAGAATGGATAAGATACCAACATCGCTATAATACACAATATTACACAATAATTCAAGTAAGCACTTATCAAACACTCACTGTACTAGGCATTGGTGATACAAAGACAAAACCTAAACAGTGCCCACACTCGAGCTGCTTCTAGGCTACCGGATTAAAGAATTTTTTAAAAATTGTATCTGAGGTCTGATAGAGAAAATTTTTACCAAGAAGTGGGATCAGGAAAGTTTTCCTAAGGAGATGATATTTTACTGGGGCTTAAAAGCAAAGGTTCTTAACCATTTTTTTCTATCATGAGTCTTTTTGACGATCTGATGAAGCCTGTGTACCCCTTCTTTGAATAATATTTTAAAAGCAAAATACATAGTATTACAAATTAAACCAAATTATATATATTTTAAAAGTGTTTTTTTTAAAGTAACTTCATAAACCTTAGGTTAAGAATCCCTGTCTTAAAGTCTGATTCAGAATCAACAAGTGGAGACATGGAGAGAGGGTGTTCCAGACATGAGGAACAAACTGAATTAAGGTGTGGAAATGTGAGAGCACAGAGGATGTTCAGAGATAAAACATTTGTTTATTTGACTGTAGGATGGAGCATATGGAAGAGTCCACAGAAATGATATAAACCTGAAAATGTAGGGTGCCACTAGGTCATGGAAATCCTTGATTACTAGACTTCCATGTGTGAGTGTTCTTTGGGAGGTAATAATGAGTCACCTAGGACTTTTGAGTAGAGGAATAATATGACCAAACTAATGTCTAAAAGAGATTATTTTAACAATAGCATTAAAGATGAAGTGAAGGGATGAAGGAATGGAGATCAGAAATACAAAAAGGAAGCTATTGAAATAGTCCAAGAGGGCGCTAAAGAGGATTTATATTAGGTTAATGGTAGTGGGAATAGACAGGAGGAAATTAATTTGTGTGATGTTGTAGCAAATTATTAGACATGGAGATGAAGAAAAGACCTTATAGCTCCAAGATTGTAAATGTGGGAGGCAGTTTTTATCAGAGTGCCACAGATTAGTATAGTGAATGAAGTCAGAATGAAGAACAAGCTTAGGAGGAATGATAACTTTCTGTGTTTTAGTGAATTTGAGCTGCTGGTGCAACACACAGATGAAGATGTCCTGAAGTCAGTTAGAGACACAGGTCTGGAGCTCAGCAGAGTTGTGAAGACTAGAAATATTGACTTGGAATCATTGGTATGGTTACCACTACAGTGTAAAGGAAATTATCAAGGGAGATTGTATACAGAAAAAAGATAAATGATTCAAAGACAGACCATGGGGAAACATTTGCACTGAGGTGTTGGGAGGAGAGAGAGGAGTCAATAAAAGAGACAGAAAATAAGTAATTTGGGAAATACAGTGAGACCCAGAATAACATGATGTCTGAAGCTGAAGAAGAATAAAAATAATACCGAGGTGTATATCAAATTATAAGATTTGCAAAGCTTCTCTCATGAGTTTTCAATAGAGAGTAGTAATCAACAGTAGCAAAAACTGCAAAGAGACCTAGAAAGAAGAGGACTGAAAGAAAAGAGATCATTGGAAACCTTGGAGAGAGCAGGTTCATTGGAGTACTTTGGAGAGGAAGTCTTGTTTGCCAAGGATAGAGCAGATAATGGGTAATGAAGTAGAAGAGACATCACTCTTCCCAAACGGGAAATAGCTCATGTGGAAAGAGAGAGCAGTGTGCAACAGAAAGTGCACTGAGCCTGAAATCAAAGGTCCAGGGTTTAGAAGTATAGGGGAAAGACCACCGGGTTTGGAATCAGAGAGTTAACTGGATTCTGCCCCTAAATCCTGGTCACTGTTTCTTGATATTTCTAAGACCTAGGGCAAGTTATTTAAACTTTTCTAAGTCTCAATTTCCTCATAAATAAAATAAAAATTGGATTAGCTAATGCCTGAGTTCCCTTCTACCTCTAGCTTAAATATTCCCAAATAAATCCCTAAATCTACCACTTAACAGCTTTGTGATTTAGGACAAGCCACTTGACTTCTCTGTACCTCAGTTTCTTCTGTAGAATAAGGGTGTTTAAGTTTGTATTAGTTACTTCACAGGGTTTTCGTGTGAGGATCAGATGAGATAATATAAAAACATTTTGTAAACCTTGAAGTTCTGTATGAATGTCATTTTCCCAAGTTTGCTGCAATGATAAAATGAAATGGGACATGATAATGTCTGATTGATCTGACTTGTTATGTAAATTTTGAATACTGCTAATATTATATGATACCATGTAACCCTATCAATTGTCCACTGAAGTCTTATCCTAATTTCTCATCAGGGTGAAGGAGTAACTCTGGTTCTCAAAAGCTATGCCAGCAGAAAAAAAGAACTACCAAGGAGGAAAGGCTTCCACAATGAGCTCAGTGATGGGTGTTAGATCTGCTCCTCCTTAGGCACAATATTGATCTACGATTCCATAAGTTACTTGGTCTCCCACATAAGCTTTGCTAAATTCAGACTGACAGCACCTCAGTGTTGGAAGGGACTTCAGAGGCTAACTCAAGCCACCCACAACTGAAAAAGGAACTCCTCTACAACACCCAAGGGCAGGGGTTAGTCAGCCTCGTGAGTTATTTAATAACTTACTTACTTAGACAACAAGTCAGCCTTGTTCAATGTTCTCTTTTGAGGGGAAACCCACTACTTCTCACAGTAGTGCATTGCACTTTGAGATAACTCTAATTGTTAGGAAGTTTTCCCCTCTCATTAAATGTCTTCAAAGAAACTCATATCCTGATTGGTTCAAGTGGTGATTTGGGGTGGGGAAAAGGGCATAAAAACTCTTGTGCACCATCTACTAAGGTATAGAGAGGTTGTGATCAATATCAGTAAAGTGGATATCCACAACAGCAACAAAATCACAGATCCTTATAAGTAATGTACATCAATGCAGTGGAAACTCGTGTTAATTAGAGTTCTTTATGAATTTCTAATTTCTGGATAGGTTCCAGATAATTGAGATTTCTCATAAGTGACTTGTGAATAACTGAATTGCTACTATCATACTACAGCATACAAATTAAGGGTATTTTAATTCTTTATTATTCACTGGGTAACACAAAGACCCTCAGATCTAGTTACATGAGATCTAATCTCCTAGGGAAGGAATAATCCACTTGTTGGTCAGTTATTTATACTAGCATGCTAACGGCTCAGAGATTCAGGACCACAGCTGGGGTTTGGTGACCACATAACCTTTTATCAAATAATTCAGTGCTCCCCAGTCTAGGATATTGGCACTAGGTCTGACCACTGTACAAAGAATGAACCTGTTGTGGAGAAAGTACAAAATCCCACATGTGAACTTCCCCAATTTCTCCCACAAAGGACTGTTTACTATCAAAATGTCCCCCAAAGGAATCTTGCTCTTGCCCCAGGACAATCTTTGCCTCTGCTCCCACCAAATACCCCTTCTTCAGGCCCTTTCTCACTAGGGGCTTATCATTTATCCATAGTTCAACTATGCCTGAAGCTGACTCCCAGCTCACACAAATATGGACTGGGAAAGAAAGGTCATCATTGATTCCAAAAGAAACCCTTTCATTCCCAATGTACAAATTATATTCCCCAACTCTGGGCTTAAATAGAAGGAGTTCGTTGTCTTTAGTTCTGGTGGCATAGGAGAACAGAGCATAGGAACGGGTGAGGTCGGTGTAGGCACGCAAGCACACAGTGAGATTCTGCAGCGGCTTCTTCATCTGAGGAATTAGGAGGACATGAGCATCAGATGATTCTTTAGGGAACACAAACACCTCCTGTTTCATGTCTGCAATGGATAAAGAAGATTAGAATTAGGACCTTCCTTTAATTTTTCAGAATACAGGGCTTTTATCTGCTCTGTAATTCTAAATATTAGGAATGAAAACATCCCTTCTAGTGAACATTTCCTTCCATTCCTTCACCATATCAACCCATCCCTTGCTCCATGCTCTAGATTAGAGGTGTCAAATACACAGCCACTGTTGCATGCTGCCTGAAGAAGAAAATGTCATTGGGAAATATTTAATAGAATAAATAAAAATACAATATATCATAGATAATAATACATTATAAAACTAAGTCATATGCAGCCTATAGGGCTCCATATGTATTGATTAGTGACCCCTATTTCTATTTAAGTTCAATGCCATTGCTCTAGACCCAGCTCCAGAACCAATTCAAAGATTTCCTACCTGTCTGAGCAATAGTTCCTAAAAGACTGTAAAGGACCAAAGCCCCAGACAAGATTATCTTCATCTTTTCAGTCTAGAAGTGCCTGTGGCAGTAGCAATAGTTCTGGGAGCAATGTTTATAGAAAGATCAGAAATTGACGCTCCACTATTCCTCACTTGTCAGAGATGATTTCCTCACTCTGGCCTCATTGCCTTCAGGGATTTTATGCACATGGTGGGGGAGGGGAGGAAATATTGTGTAAGATATTTCCCAGCTCTCCCTAGTCAGAGGTCCTGGTCTGGTATTTTCCACAAGGGAATGATGGTGGGAAATCGATAGAAGTTATTTATTAGAAACTCCAGTCACTACCTGAGCTCCAACTCTGTGTGACACAGATTCAGGGTTTGGGAAGACAGCAGTTCAGAGAATCCGGGAGCATCATCAGTGGATGACAGTGAGTGATAAGTAATAACAAATGGGCTCCCATCCAACGTTCCTTCCTATTGCAGTAGGAGCCTTGCTCTCTTCCAGTTTTCATCTGGCCAGCACTTCTGTTTTATTCCAGGGTTCTCTTGATCTACACTATATCTTCTGACTGAACTCATATAGCCGTTGCCAGAGCCCAGGCCAACCAAAGGGCTTCATTTTCATGATTAGATCGTTATTTCATTCATGTGTAATGTTAAGTTTTATCTAAGTCCATCCTCTACCCAAATCACAAATACTATCTACGACATCCCGAAAAAGTGGTCATTCCAACTTTGCTTTAACATCTCCACAATGGGACACTTAGTATCTCAAAGAAGACCAACTCGCTCTTGAACACTAACATTGTTAAAAGGTTTTCCCTTGTGTGAGGTAAAAATCAGTCTTCTTTTATATTCCACCCATTGTTCCAACCTTGGCCCCTTGACTTCTCCACATTCAAAATCATTCTACCAAGTTCTGAACTTTGAAATCCCTCCTCTCAAATCCATGATTTGTCTTCTTTTTCTCTCCCATTTACTCCTCCCTCCAAAACTTGAGATTTATCATCACTGTAAACTCCTTTGCTTCAATCCTTCCCTGTTCTTCTACTCCATCTCCCAACTACTCTGGCCTTATTTTCATGCCTTCAAAATCTTGACTTAGCTTCTTTTGAATATCTCAAACTGGCCAAAAAAGAATCTCATTATCTTTTCCAAAAAACTCTCTTTTTTTTCAAACATTCTTTTACTGTTGGCACCATCGTGGTCTTAAATCACCCAGATTTACCATGTCAGTATGATCCTTTACTTTTCATCAAACTCTCCCCAAAAATCCAATCCATTGCCAAATTGGGTCCTTTCTACCTTCATAATATCTCTCATATATGTCCCCCTTTTCCATTCACATAACCACCCTCATCAACCCTCACCCAGAACTATTTCCATAGCTTTTCAAATAGTCTTCCTACTTAGAGTCTCTTCTTCCTCCAACCCACTCTCTACTCAGATGCCAATGTGATTTTCTAAAACAGAGTTTTGACCATGGTACTACTCACCCTACATACCAACACACACACACACACACACACACACACACACACACACACACACACACCTGTAAACTCTAGTGGTTCCTATTTCTGGTCTACTGGACTATTCTATTCCATGTCATATCTGCAACAGAGAGAGAAGATTAGAAGTAGGACTTTCCTTTAACTTCTCAGAATGCGGGTTTCACTTGCTCTCTGATTCTATTCTGGTATGCCCTCCTAATATACTGGATTATTTGTTCTTCCTCACACAAGACATCAGTCTCTCAACTCCACTCCTAGAATGCTCTCCCTTCTCACCTCAACCTCATAGATTACCTCTCTTCCTTTCAAATGAAACTCAGGTACCATATTCTGTAGGAGGCCTTTCTTTGTCTCCCTCCTCCCTAGAACTTTCCTTTTGAGATTGCACACAAACAAATATACACACGAATACACATACACATATATACACATACACACATACAAGATACAAACATATACATACATGTGAGTGTATGTTTTTATGGATATTTGTATGTGTTTATGTATATGTATGCATTTTGTATGTGCATAGCTATTTGCATGTTGTCTCTCCCTTTAGAAGGAGGAGAGAAGGAGAGGTGGGTTTTTTTTGCTTTCTTTGTGTACCCAGTATTTATCATGTGTCAGGCATATAGCAAATGATTAATAAATGTTTGTTGACTGACTGTCCCTAAAATAAAACTAGTTCTACAAGGCTTTGTCCTCTACCTTGAATTTTTTGCCCACCTGACTTTGAGCCATTTATATTTTATTAGTCCTCAATCCTTGGTCACAACTAACAGCTGCTTCCTATGTTCCAATCTATTCTCAAGTCATTAAATGTTGCAGGAAAAAGACATGAAACTATGGAGACTTCATCCACTCCAAATTTATGTTATTTAATCTCACCTAGAACCTTATTGCTGCAACTCTGATAGACTCTCTCTCATGCTTCCAATGAAGGCTATCATAAATATTTTCCTATTTTTTTAATTCCTGTATGTGTGCTCCATACTCTTTCCCAGAGTAAAGGAGAGCCACCTTTTACTTTGCTGAAACAATCAAAGGCACCCATCATGAGTACCCTCATTTCCCGTACTTGATACCTCAAAACCTCTCTCAATCTCCACCCTGCTCTTCTGCCTAGCTGTAGTCTCAGATAAAGTGATCCTTAATTTGCCAAGGTTAATCCCTTCACTTATGGTTTTCCTCTCATCTTTCCTCTAGGACTTTGCTTCATTATCCATGAGTTTTCTCTCACAACTGTTTCTCCACTTAACCACCTAACTACAAATTTAGCTTTTTCCTATCCTTAAAAACTCTCCTTTGATCCAATAATCTTTTTAAGCTGTCATTATTTATCTTTTTTTCTCTTTTACTGGTAAAACATTTAGAAATAATAATCTATATTCATTGTCCATTTGTGGAGCACTCATTTGTTCTTCAACCTATCACAATTCAACTTCTAATTGCCCTAGTTCGATGAAACTGATTTCTCAAAGGTCAACAATGATTTTCTAATTATTCTGATAGCCTTTTCTCAGTCATTATTTTCCTTAACCTTTCTGTAGCATTCAACACTATTGACTATCACCTCCTCCAAAACACTTTCTCCTCCCTTGCCTTCTGTGATACTACCCTCTTCTGCGTCTCCTCCCATCAGTCTGACCAGTCCCCCAACCTATGTGGGTATCCATCATAGCTCTAGCCTAGAACCTCTTCTTTGCTTTTTTCCCTAGTAATCTATCTTCTTCAAGGGGCTCATTGATTACCTCACAATCTATATTTTCATCCCTAATCTCTTCCCAGAGCTCTACATCTCCAACTACCTATAGGGCATCTCCACTTAGCTGATCCACTGACACCTCAAACTCAGCCTGTCCAAAACTGAACTCAACCCCTAACCTAACCAATTCTCCCTAACTCCTTATTTCTTCTTTTGTCACCACCATATTCCCAGTCACCCAGGTTCAAAACCTTTTTATCATCTTTGATTCTTACCTCTCCTTTATAACTAGCTGATATATGACCATATGACCTAGGGCAGCTAGTTGGCACAGTGAATAGAGTGTTGAACTTGGAATCAGGAAGATCTAAGGTGAAATCCTGACTCATATGCTTGCTAGCCTATCACTCTGGGCGAGTCACTTAATCTCTCAGCCTCAGTTTCCTTATAGGTAAAATGGAGATAATAGCACTTGTATTCCAGGGTTTTGTGAGGATCGATGACCTAACATGTATAAAGTACTCTGCACATCTTAGTGCAAAAAGACTAGCTAGCTATTAGCCAATATGTTACAGAGTTTTTGCAATTCTATTTACACAGCATATCTTATGTCTATCATTATCTTCCAGCACACACTGCCACCACCCTAGCTCAGACTGTCATCACCTATTGCTGGATAACTCAAATAACCTTTTAACTGAATTTCCTGTCTCCATTCTCTCTCATTTCCAAACAATCCTTCATACAGCTACCAAAATAATATTCCTAAGGCACAAGTCTGATAATGTCATGTCGTTGATCAAAAAGTATCAGTGACTTCCTGTAGTTTTCAGGATAAAGTAAAATGTCTGTAGCCTAACATTTAATGCCTCTCTTTTGGACTGGCCTTCTGATTTTGGTGTAGAAAACTTCCAGTTAGGAAACTCCTTTGGCAATGCAGAGTGCTACCTCCTCTGAAACTTACATGTACTTAAACATACATATCATTTCCTCCATTGGATTATATTCTTGAGAGGAAGGATTGTTTTATCCTTTATACTTGTATCTCCAATACTGAGCACAGCACCTCTAAAGATGTAATAGGTGCTTAATAAAATACTTGTTGATTATTTGATTGATACACGATTAATGCTTTCTTTAAAAAGAGATCTGAGAGGCTGTAGACATGAGGAACACCACATTTTTAAAAATGAAATTATGTTTTACCAGATCAATATAACACATTATATGCCCTGTCCCCAACAATTCTAACCATAGGCTGGCTCTCTTACCCCAATCTGATACACAGAGAAGGGCCGCCAACACACAGTTATGACTGAAACTATTTCAGGATCCTAGGAGTAAACTTCTTGGTGTCAGAAGGACAGACTCCTAAAAATTCCCACTGTAGTTCCTCAACCCCAACAATTGTGTTTCCCATGTATACAAAATTACCCAGTCATATTGACAACAGAGGAGACAGATGGAAAGACAGACAGATACAGAGACAGAGACACAAAGAGAGACAGAGAGAGAAAAAGAGAGAGAAGAGACAGAAAAGACAGAGAAAGAAACAGAGACGGAATGTGAATCTACATTCTCACCCAAGGAGAAATTTCCTGATCTTTAATATAGCAACCTGGAAAAGGGGGTATGTTTGAGGTGCTGGATCCTTTACATGTTGGATTCTTTCCAGAGTCTTTCTCCCACTCCAGAAACATCTTCCTGAAGAGAGCCTAGAAATAATGTATTCTCTTTTAAAGCCAGAAGACACAAAACAAAACAATTCTCCTTTCCCAAGCTCTTCTCCAACTCTGTCCCTCTTGTTGGCACAGAGCACTGAGTAATCATTCTGTTCACCAACAAGGAGAATTTTATAATAATAATAGCTGTCATTTATGTTGCACTTTAAGGTCTGCAAAATGCCTTACAAATATATCATTTTATCTTCTTAACAACCATGGGAAGTAAATATTGCTATTACCCCTATTTCATCATTTCATTACCCAGGGTCAAGTCACTAGTATTTGAGGCAGGATTGGAACTCAGGTCTACTTGATTCCAGCTGGGTCGAGTTTTCTATGGACTTTACCACCTAGATGATATTTATGCAAATACCTAGATTCCAAGAAGAATCTTAGGCAAATACCTGATTATATACTTCTTGTCTTCTTCTACAAAATGTATAGCTACTAGTGAGAAGGGGCTGTTCCATTTGCATCTTTGTATGTCCAGTATCTAGTACAGTGCCTGGCATGTAGAAGGAACTTTAAAAATTCTTGTCAATTAATTATTTCTCATCATCATCAATTTTCTGAGTTCTCTCCTGCTTCCATTGTCCTAGAAGACTCTCTCCTTGTTCTAGATACAGAAACTAGGGGAATCCCAACCTAGGTATCTCTAAGTCTCAAAAGTCAGTTTCCTCTAACTTTTCTTCCTCCCAATCATCATAGCTCCTAACCACTCAACATTGTGCCTGACACCCTTCCCCTTGCCACCTTCTTTATTAACTAAGAATCTCCAGGAGCCTTCCTTTCCTGTCTTATGCTTTGTTTCCACATTCAGCAGAAGGAGACTTTGTAACCTCACCTTTGATTTAGAACTGAAAAACGACTTTAGAGCTGGTCTTAGTCTAGCCAGGTTCATTTAAGGAGACAAAGGCCCAGAGAGACACACTGATTTTCTCAAAGCCGCATAGGTAGCAGAGCCAGGACTCAAACCCAGATTCTCTGACTCCAAATCAAATGTGCTTCACACACCACAGCATTCTCTAGGTCACCTAATGCTGTATCTTTATGATCTTTCTCTCTGCCAGAAAAGTCTTGTCATATTTAACCTAAATCTATTTATGAAGCTTATTTCCTTCCTGTTCTAATCTCAGTGAAAAGAGAATTTCTGGTCATCATGCTCTATGGCATATCCCTTCATACCACATTTTCACTTACTTCATTTGTCTCCATATATGTTTTAGGGCAGCAAAGACAGGAAAGGAGATTATTCAGTAATCTGACAGGCTACAGTTGTGGAAGTATGATTTATTTTTGTGGCAGGCAGCATGGTTATTAAAAACTTGGCTAAGAAGAATTTCAAAGGACACTAATAGCTATAGCCAGTCAGGAGGATTATGCTTGAAATTCTGGATAAGTTTTAGGGATTATTTAACCCATTCATAACTGGCCCATACTTGAATCTAAAAGAAATTTCCCAAGTTAATTTCATTTCTACAGGAAAGAAAAAACACAAATTCTTTCTGGGTAGCAAAAAGATCACATACACACACACACACACACACACACACACACACAAAATAGCCCAACTCACCTGTAACCTTCCCTCAGTCTGTAGTGTGAGGACACAAGCATGGTGAAAACCACTTCATATGTACCATTGTCACAAACTAATAGTGGCACTCCATG